AAAATGTAACTAATTGTTACTTAAAACTTGAAAGGAGAAGAAAATCACTTTTATGCCCGATTCATTAACATGGTAAAAAAAAAATCCTTAGTAATCAACATCAAAAGTAAAACGGATGAAAGTATGTAGGGTAAACTAGGGAGAGATGCCCCACTTTTTGAAAAAAAAAACAAAACAAAACACATTGCGGATTTTGCTTACTAACATTGGGGCCTTTGCTGGAAGTCAATCAGTAAAGATCGCTTATCATTAAAAAAGAAAAACATTACTGGAAAATAACAAACTCTGAAATTACAAAAAATAAAAACGAAATCGAAGCTTTTGGCCATCTCACTCGACAGGTGGGTAGAGATGCCCCATTTTATAGACGCCTCTTTCTAGACTTTTGCTTGGCACATATGTTGGATTTGTTACCATGGTGCAGTGTTCATGGAGCCACTTGGAACAGTTTATACATTGAATCCAATCTTCTCTAAAAATAGTTAAAATAACAGAATTCATTACACCCTACGCAACATACATCGTCCTCGTCATCGGAATAATGCAGACTGAAGGATTCATCACCATTTTCTGATGACCCTGAGGTGACCTTACATTTCATCAATTTAGGCTAACCCGTCTTTGTAAGTTTCTTATCCTTTTCCTTTTTCTTTCTTTTTTTTTCAAAAAGTACTCTTGTTGTTGTTATATTTTCATCTGAAGTTAGAATCGTCGCAGATTGTTCTTTCGTGTTCCCTGTTTTTTAAGGAACGTTAAGACCTGTTCCCGTGTTAGTACCTTTGATTTTTTTGGTTGGCAGCCTTTTGAGCGTTGCTTTAAATAGGCCTCCAATTGGGAAAACTTTTTAGCACTATTCACCACTTTTTTAACCATTAATTCTTTCCTTAACATAGAAAATTTAGTCCACAACGAATTCGGAGAAAAATCCGCAATTAGCTCTTGAAAATAAGCAAGCAGAACGGTTTCATTTACGGTCTTTACTGAATTGTCGTTTGTCCATTGAATGAAGCGAGAATATTCTTTTTCGTAAACAGATTTCGATTTCACTGGAATTATTTCTTCCACAGCTTTTGCAGCACTTGCCAAAACACGTTCCGGCAAGTTTTCGTCGCACATTTTGTAATATTGTACCTGTCACACAATTTTTCATTTAGTAAACAACGCCGTTGCTAGTGACCAAGGTAGGTCGATTTTTTCGTTAAATTACGGGAATAAGGTTTTTTTGGAATTTTGTGTTTATTTATAAACTTTTGCTGGTAAGGATGACATAAAATGTTGAAGGCACCACGGGGGTTATGAACATAACACCCTCGGCCGACGTACTTTCCCTCGGGCGGGACGCCCTCGGGAGTACACTGTCGACCTCGCGCCTTATTTATTTCATAACGCCCTAAATACCTTAATAACTATAATGTCTCCAACAAGCCGGAGGCCCAATTACAGGAAACATGACATATACAACACGCAAAGGCAAGGCGGGCATCGAACCCATGACCCAAGGTGTAGTTGGCAAGCACGAAGCTAACTAACCCACCCAGGTCCTCAAATCAAATCCTCAATATGAAATCATCCTGATTAAAATGTAGTGAACACACTTTCAGAAGCTTTGTTGCTGGTTTTCCCATATTTAGCTTTACCATCCAAGTCATATCTGTCCATTTTTACTTCCCGAGCGTCAGCAAAGGAAGTATTGTAATCGAGTCCATCGGCCGACTCTCTACTTTTACGTTTTCTCGATCTCTAATGACCCCTAGAAGACGAAGAGATAGGTCTGCCATTTCCGTCTGTCTGTCCGTCTGTCCGTCTGTCCGTCTGTCTGCCGTCCCGGATTTTTATTAGACAGATAATTTCCGAAAGTACTGGACCGATTGTTGTGAAATTTTGTACTTATATTAGGAATATCATGTAGATCATCCATGGGCAACCTTTTCTGTATGACGGGCCTAACGGAAAAAATATCGGGCAACCGCGGGCCACCAAATAAATAATAATACATAATAATTTTTAGATATTATAATAAAAATAATGGCACACTTAATATAGGAGAAACGTACTGTAAACAATAAAATACAAAAACACTATAAAATTCAAACAAATTTATTATTCAAAAAGACACTTCAACATAACATATGTGATCACATAGTGATGTGAAATTATTAAAAATAGTTATTCAAGTATACTAGTGGGATTTCTGCTATTGAATGTTTTTTATCATGCCGTCAATATCAGCACCAAGAGAAGTCGACGCAATTCGTAAAGTGTGTTCTAAATTTTGGTCCGTGATTCTCGATCGATCTTTGGATTTTGTATAGTTCATTTGCGTAAAAAACTGCTCAGAGCAATATATACTACCAAAGAGATACATTATTTTACACACAAAAACTTTAAAATTTGGGTATTTATCTTTGGGAAAGTATTTTTGATAAAAATCAAGCAAAATCATCTCTCTAGTAAAGATGGCTTTCAGGGCATCATCTGATTGAAACTCTATCAACTCCATCTGTAAACTCTCTGGCATGATTTCTACGCCAAAAGGATTAAAAAATATGTGAAAATATTTTTCATGTTTACTGAAATCCTGGAAGCGCCTTGAAAATTCTTTTTTTAATACGTTTAGTTCATTTGCCAAAGGGGCAGAATCAAAATTTTTGTAATTAGCAAGTATAGGAAAATGGTAAGTATTTTCTGCACGTAATTGAGTTTCCCATAAGTGAAGTTTAGTTCGGAACAACTTGATTGATGTGTCCGAACATTTCATGTATAAATTGTCCCCTTTTTTGTAAATTTCCATTAAGATCATTTAAGTACCCGGTAACGGCAACTAAAAATGCAAATTCGGAAAGCCATACCTCGTGCGTTAACTGGCGAATTGACTTCCCTTTCATTTCCATGAAAATTTGGATTTCACTTTTCAAATTGTAGAAGCGCTGTAACATCTTCCCTCTACTTAGCCAGCGTACTTCGGTATAATAAAGAACGTCACCATATTCTGATTCAAGATCTTCCAAAAATTCTCCTCCATTACATTACGAAATTTAATTGATTTTGCGCATAGATTTTCTTGATGTATAATACAATGAAATGCAAAAAAAGTCTCTATATTTACACTTCTATCACGGAATCCAGATGCAATTCTTGGTACTACACTTCCCATTGGACGAGCACCGTCTGGAGATACTCCACTTAATTTTTCGCATTGTATTTAGTTGAAAACTTTTACCACCTTTTGAAAAATGTCTTCGCCTGTCATCGTATCCTTCATTGGTTCAAGTGCTAGCAACTCTTCCGTTATGACAAAGTTTTCGTCGACAACACGAACAAAAATATATAGCTAATTGTGCTGTGTCCGTTATGTCAGTACTATCATCGAGTGCTATGGAAAATGCAACACCTTTTTTGAGGATTTCAGCCAAGTTAAATTTAATCTTTTCACTCATCATTTCAATTCTTCTAGTCACGGTTCTTCTAGTTAAACTGACTTTTGCAAATTTCTTCTCTTTGTCCGGACAAAGAATGTGAGCCACAGAAGTTAGACACTGTTTAACAAATTCTCCTTCAGAAAATGGTTTTGAATGTTTTGCAATCATTTGGTTAACAACAAAACACATTTCTTCGATTTGTTTTTGATTTCACCTTACCCCACCCTGCTATGCGTGAAACAGTTGTTTTGTTGGGACGCGGCCTTTTACGACTTGCAAAAAATTCACATGGCTATGTTTCAATAAGAATTATTATTGGAATTTATCTTCTCAAACTTAGGTTTTTTTTTAATTGAAAATGTAATTTGTAAATTTGAAAACGTTAATTTTAATTGAGGAATTGAATTGTACACATTGCGGGTCAAAGTTACACCAATCAAAAAATCTTTGGCGGGCCGGAAGTTTCCGGTCGGCGGGCCGTATTCGGCCCGCGGGCCGTAGGTTGCCCATGGATGATGTAGATGGTAAAACGCGAACCAAAATTTGTTTAATCATCCCCACCACTAATGCGATGACATCACTTCAAAATTGTACATAGTAAATGGGTTTTAAATTGTATAAAATAACATAAACCCGTATTCAGCGCCATTCTTTAAATTATTGTTTATCTATTTTTTTACTAATCAATTGATTAAACTAAATAATTTTTTAAATCGATATTTTAGTGAATGCCCTATTCACCGCCGTTGTTTACGCTTCTATTAACTAATTAATAAATTAATGAACATTCGGTTGACAACGTCGCAAAATTTCGTGACATCTCAATATCCCTTGTGTCAAATATAAGCAGACATTCAATTTGTGTTATTTGTGAGTTCAAGGAGTTGATTGAAAGCAAATTTGAAGCATGTAAGTATGTTAAGCAGCTCACCAAAAACAAAAGGTAGGTAATTGTTTACATTAGCCAGTAGCCGATTTTGCCGAAAATGTTTTTACAAAACCTTCATACTACACCCTCCTTGTGCCACAAAAAAAGTTAAAACTCCCATTCATGTACTATTTTATGGTACGTAGCCATTGCTAATAATTTATATGGTCACCAACGCGTCTAGGGGTAATGGCGGGTTTTTACTGGACGGAGAACGCGAAGCTAATGTAAACAATTAGCAAACAAAAAGGTATGAAGACAAGTTGTTACTGAATATATTTACTTAGGGCGAAGACAAAGCAATCAGAAGATGAAAAAAAAAGACATAAAAGAAACAAAAATTTTACGGAGGAAGAAAAGTCACACATAATTAGCTTCGTAAAGACACATGCTCAAGTTTTAGAAAGCAAAATGTCGGAACCAAAAATAAATAAGAGAAAAAGGGAACTATGGAGTCAGTTAGCCATGCAGTTGACCGCGAGTGGCAGTGAATGCCATCGGGATGGAGAGTCCCTTAGAAATGCCTATTATAGGTTGAAGCAAGAGGCAAAAACATCAGTAAAAGGGAACCATATATTATTCTAACATGTATATTTTACTCTTAAACAATTTTAGGTGGGCTCCTTTAAAAAAAGTTAAAAAAAAACTGGAGGGGGTCCGTCACAAAGCGAACCTAGTGCACTAGACTGGGCAATTGCCGACATTTGTCCAGTTGATTTTGAAGAGGACGAAGCCCTCTTTGATTCCGATGTTGTTCAGGATAGAAAAGTCCAGGACACTGTTAGTTAAAGAACAAAATACATAAGATAACTGTAATTCAATATCGAAATTCTATTTCAGGTCCCAACATCAACTGATGGTTTAGTTGACCCAGAAAGTGGCTTTATAATACCTTGTGGAAGGTACTTTATTTTAGTGAATATTGTGAAAAAAATAGATACATATACTTATTTTATTTGTAGTCAATCTCCAACCGAATTTTTTGCTCCTCAGTTGGATTTACAGAATCTTCCGGAGATCTCTTCTTCACCGTCAATAAAAAATAAAAACAAAAAATTAAACGTTCAGCACAAAATGGTTTCGATCCATGAGGACCAAATTCAAACTAGGAAAAAAAACGAAACAGCGTATTATGAAAAAGAAATAGAATTTATAAATTTAAAAGTGAAACATGAAGAAGTTCTGTTCAAGGCTAAGCTGCGCCGTGAAAACGCAAGAAGAATACATGAAAAAAGAACATTTTTATTAAAACAACAGTTATTAAAATTACAAATAGAAAAATTACAAGATCAAAAATAAAACGTTTCAAATCTTAATTACCTATTGTTGTTACCAAAATATCGTTGAATAAATAAACGTCTAAAAATATTTCCTTGTTCATTTCTGGGATTGGGTCGAATAGGTTGATCGTCATTATCACTATCTGATTCTGACGAATCATCTTCAAAGTTATTGTCCCTCTCGAGGCGAATATTGTAAAGTATTGCTGTTGCAACAATTATTATTTTTGCAGTGCTTAATTTTGTCTCCAAGTTTCGCCTCAGTGCCTTGAACATGTTTTTCCATCGACCAAAGCAGTGTTCAATAACCACTCTAGTTCCTTTATGCGCAGCATTGTATCTTAGCTCTGCTGCTGTTCTTGGTTGTAGCAATGGTGTCAACATATATCGAGTACAGGCATACCCACTATCACCCAACAGAATCCCTTGTTTTAGATTGCTCTAAATGTGGAAACATTTTTAATTATGTTAGAAATACGGATACAAGGGGATAGCTACCTCAAAATCCTCTTTAATGCGGGAATTGTTAAAAATTCTAGAATCATGGACGCTCCCCCTCCATCTGGTTACAATGTCCATGATTCTGGTGTTTGAATCGCAAATAACTTGCACATTCAATGAATAAAAACCTTTCCTGCAGCAGTATAACAGCGGTCGACGTCCATCAGGATTCTTTATTTTAATATGGGTGCAATCAATGCAACCCACCACCCCAGGAAATGCCCTAATATTGTAAAAATTTCGCTTGAGCTCACGAAAATTTTCTGGCCAATTAACAAACTGAGGTAGTCGAGAAGCTAAAGCTCGAGCTACCTTTAGTACAATCCTACTCACGGAAGCCTGACTAACACCGTGCAGATCTCCTAATGAATAATACACTTTTAGTAAAAAATAATACTCCTCCTTTAGCGGGAAGATTACCTGTTTCTGTTTGATAACTTGCTTTGGCAAAAAATCGTAGCGCTATGAGGAGCTGCATTTCCGGACTAATATTATTCGAATTGTAGGTCTGCAATCTTAAATCTTCTTTAATTAAGTCTAACACATATCGGAATGTATGTTTTTTTAATCGATAGCGTTTTATGAATTCCTTTTCTGAAAATTCCGCAAAAGTATTAATACGCGGACGGAAAACACCACGAGCACGAGCCAACGGATATATGTTGAAATTATTTTCAACTTCTTCAATAAACTGAATTTCTTGCAGAACGTTATCCATTTTGACCGATTTTATATGAATGTCAACATAAATAATTATTTAAAGACGGTTATGTCGTCGATTAAAATATTGATTAAAAAAATGTCTAAGTGACGTTATTTAGCGGATCAACATTGGCGCTGAATAGGCAAATTTAATAGACGTTGATTAAGGGCTTAATAGACATCCACTAAAAATAATCGACAGCGCTGAATACGGGCTATAGTAGTTTACAACTTCGAATTGAGTTTTCACCCAAAACGTCCAGATTTTTGGAAAAAAAAATCAAAATCATAAAACAACATTTTGCAATCTAATTTTGAATCTGCAAAAGCCAATGTTTTGAAATGTTGCAGATGTTTTAAGGCTATGAAGAGCATCATAAATATTTAGTCAAAAAATATTTGCTTATCCCCTCCAAAAACTTGATGACGTCAGCTCAAAAGTTTGCCGAATAAATCATATCTAAAATGTACAAAATATGATGAGTCTGTACTTGTGATCTATCACTCCATTCATATTTTTTGGATTTGCATATACAGGGTGACTCAAAAAAATTAATGAATGCGTAAATTTATTTTACTGATTTACTCAGGAACTACAAAACCGAATGCTTTGAAATCTTGAAGATGTTTTAAAATTATCGTAGGCATGGTAAATTTTTGATCAAAATGTATTTGGTCGTCCCCACTAAAAAATTTATGACGTCACCACAAAATTTTGCTGAATAAATCCTATCTAAAATGTACAAAGTGTGGTGAGTCTCTTCTTGTGATTTATCATTCCATTCATATTTTTTGGATTTGCATATACAGGGTGACTCAAAAAAATTAATGAATACGTAAATTTACTTTATTGATTTAATCAGGAACTACAAAACCGAATGCTTTGAAATCTTGCAGATGTTTTAAGGTTATAAAGAGCATAATAAATGTTTAGTCAAAATACATTTGCTTATCCCCTCCAAAAAATTGATGACCTCAGCTCGAAAGTTTGCCGAATAAATCCTATCTAAACTGTGCAAAATATGATGAGTCTGTACTTGTGATCTATCACTCCATTCATATTTTTTGGATTTGCATATATAGGGTGACTAAAAAAAATAATGAATTCGTAAATTTTTTTTATTGATTTACTCAGGAACTATAAAACCGAATTCTTTGAAATCCACTGCGAAAAAAACATAATAGGTATGCAGTCGTCACGTTTCCGATAGCGAGGGAAGTACTGTCTAAACTCTTTAGACCAATTTTTTTCCCTGATTCCTAACCTGATACATATGTACATCTTATACTAATAATAATTAATAACAATTTGGTTAAATACTGATTAAACTAAATTTACTGTTCATGTGAATACACACCTGTTCGTAACATAAACAAGTGACTTGTTTTTTATGGGGAATTTATGAAAAGAGAGCCCACTATTTGTATTATTTCTGCTATGGGAGCGAAAAACACAACAATTTGTATTGTTAACAGTCATTTTTTTTTTCAGGAATACTGGGACCAGCTTATTTAATTTTGTTGGTTTAACATAGAACAACGAAATTTCACTGTACAACCAACAGTATTATATTTACATCTGTCACTATGTTCCTGAGTAGTGCACATTTTAGACACCAGGTGTCGTATCAGATCATTTAGATCGCGAATTACTGATTATTTTTAAGTATGACAAATAGCAATGTTTGTAGTTAACCATGAAGGTCAGATTTAATTGAAAAAGTAACTTTAGTACACGAAAAAATGTTCGCGTTGCCATATGTACCTGTTGGTATCCGAGTTTCTTCGCTTGATATGACAACAAAGGTTTTAACGGCACTGAAGTTTTTTGCGTGTGGTAGTTACCAGTTTAGTGTGCGGCAGAATATCAATTCTGCCAAGCAGTCAATCTTCCGTGAATCGTACCATTCCTCATGCGCTTTTCCGATGTGATCGGTTGTATTGACTGCACACATGTGGCAATTTATCCACCTATATGATTTAAAGATAATTAACAGTTCTACACGCTGCCCAGGAAGTACCCATGATGCGTATACTTGGAATCATAGTCAAGTTCTTCCTTTTATGGAAAATCTTCACAGGCAAATCACAAGCCATTTTTTTTTGTTGGGTGACTCCGGTAATCCTCTTAGATCTTATCTTATTACACCATACCCTGATACGGTTCCAAATACTCCTGAGGATCAATTTAACACTGCCCACAGAATAACCAGATCAACTATAGAAAGATGCAATGGAGTGTTAAAATTGCGTTTTAGATGTCTATTAAAACACCGCATTTTTCACTATTCTCCAGAAAGGGCATCAAAAATAACAAATTCTTGTGCTGTTCTTCATAATATGTGTAAACATGCAAATTTACCAGAAATCGAAATGGATCCTTATGATGAAAATTTAGATTTTAATATGTTTAACCAAGCGAATGTAGGGGGGTATGATGTTATGAATGGAAACAACATCAGTCCACTGAATGAATGAAGGCAGGCAACAAAGAAATAAAATCGTGAGAAATCATTTTAAGTAAATTACTAAAAAACCTTTTTGTTGTCATTTATTAACTCATCAGCAGAAACAAAATTAATTTAAATATAATTAATAAATAAACAAATTTCATTTCTACATTTTTTTTTAACTTTTCTTTATAATAGTTTTCGGTCGCTACAACACTGTTTTCATCCAACTCAATTTTTTTATATAATAAAGTTCTTTTAGCTCCATTTTTGTCTCCAAGTGTTTGGACATTTTTTCTGTAGCACCTATCGTGTTCTCTAATCGTCGGATCTTTTCTTACGACGGCAGTTGTTATTATTGTTCACCTGGGATTCAGTGAAGGCTGTTGAGGGTGAAGGTGGTGTTTTTTCTAGATTTATTAAACAGTCGTCAATAATTGTTGTGTTTACTTGAGTGGAGGTGGAGGGTGTACTATCTGCCATATTAAATTCATCAGTGACATTGTTTTGATTGTGAATAGTATATTGTTCAACGAGTGGAATGACCAATTTCTCACGAGTTTAACACTATATTTTTTCTGCTCATATAATCAAGAAAATAAAGACAAAAAAATCAAGAATTATTTTTATTAAGATTATTAATACATTACTTTACCCATTGAATTTTATTAAATTATTTAGTTGGTAGCTTGTTGACTTCCAACTTCCCTGCCTTTTCAGCCCTGTGATGTCAGCGCTAGCATCGACAAGTCTTGATATGTTCGTTCATATTTTTTTCTTGACTTTTCTGGCAGAAGATTAAGGGTGGGCAATTTCGCTGCTTCTTTTATGTAAGGGGGCGTGCAATCCCCAAGAATTTCACTATATTCCTCAAGCATTTTCACTAATTTTCACAACATTCGAAAAAATGATGACGTGTAAACAAAACGCATGGACGAGTTCAATTTTTATTAGGGGTGGTGGTGGGGAATTGTGCAGAAAAGGAAACGTGGCGTTCTGATTGGACAAAAGCTGTGGAGAAAAGTGCTCATTCTTAAATAGATTGAAAAATGGTTAATTTTCTCAATTCAAAATGCAGTAAAAATTCAACATTTTCTCAATAAGAGCAGAAAAAAGAAGTTTGAGTTCTGATTCCGCTGTTTTTGGTTGCCCTTCTATTGGTACCTTCTCAATAAGATTCGTTGCCGTTTCTTCGAATTCCGTTAATTTTTCTTCCGTCTGATCCACCGCCTGTGCCCATATGATGCTTAATCATGCTACTTTGCTTCTTCTTTGCAATATTGCACTGATCTTGCCATGTCTAGAAAATTTAAGTCCGTAAAATGAAATCTTTTCTCGTTCCTTAAAAACTGGTAAGATTTACTTTACACCAGGCTTGCCAGTCCTTCCGAGCGCCATTTGTTTTCTGTTCAGTTGTGCTATCGGTGATTCCCATAATTGTTGGGTACTTTTATGGGTAAACGTAGACGTGAATTTTCCCCTTCGTAATTCAGGATGAGCACCCATAAAGTCAGCAAGCATTGCCTTGTGTCTTTTGCGTTGTTCCATTTTGGCGGATTTTGACAAAACAAATTTCATTTTTTGAAGTTTTTGAATTACTGTGGTAATCAACGGTAATTACTGTGTTGCCACATTTTCACACGATGTAATATGTTCGTATAATATGCGAGAAAATTACGAATTCGAATTTGTGACATTCAAGAATACAAGAAAAAAAAATGTTCGAAAAATTTCATTCGATTTTTTTCGAATACGAATAAATTCTTCGAATTCGAGAATTGGGCCCCTGGGGCCCCCTATTCTTGAACTCATGCGACTTCGAGTCGTATACGAAAATTGTCGCATGGTGATTTCGTATGCGAAAGATGAAAGTCCCACGCTCTGTATTCTTGAGCGCTAGACGAATACAATTTCGCATGCGACGTATTTGCGTATAGTCGTCAATAAGTTCATACGACCAAGATGATGTTTTCCTGTCAGAAACCACTATCGACCAATCGAGTAGAGGGAAAATTTAAACTTTTAAATACAACATAGATTATTCTATTTACATTTCTTCTACAGCATTTAGAACTGTAGATAGACTAAATCACCCATTTTCTGTTCACAAAACATATCTCTATATTGTGTAAAGAAAGCACTGTATAACTTACTTACTTTTCGATAAATCGGCAATTACCTAAATTTTTTTTAGTTCACACAATCACAACATTGAAATAGAAAATGTAAACATAAACATGTCAAATTGTTGTCAGAAATCCGCTTCGCTGAGTTTCGGTAGGAAATTCATTTCACTCGACAAAGACCATGCGTTGCTTTTTGTACGTCAAATTCGTATACGACTGACAATTTTTCGGTTCAAGAATGCGAAGTTTGACAATCGTATACGAATTGAACGGTTTTCGTATACGAAAGCGAGTCGCATGAGTTCAAGAATAAGGTCCCTGAAATGGATATATAGTTGGATTCAAGTATCTTTTTAGACACGTGACCAAAAGCTAACGTCCGAACTAATAACTGTTACTTTGTAGTAATTAGTGAAAAAGATGACAATGTTCATAACGTCAACATGAGACAAATGTGTAAGCTCAGGCAGGTCTTTTGGTTTCGGTGCTTTCCGATTGGGTCGTGATTTTGCCGGACTGGGAAGGACGCCGTGTCTTTCTTTTCGAGTTTTAATCTTCGAAACCGTTCGGCGAGTAACGCCTAGAGCATCTGCAACTCGCTAAAAATTTGAGCGAAATTATT